TTTTGGGGCGAAATATAATGACAAACGGAGAACCGAAAAAATTGACAACCGTACAGTGTTAGTTTATGTTATAAAACGTTCTATAATACATGTGTATACTAATAATGATATATACATGTTTGTAAAGCTAATGAAGTAAGGAATCAAAAAAAGTCATAAAGTTTATGGTAAAAATAATTTTTTACCTATAAACATACGTATATATAATAATGTTTTTATATTTTAGCGATTTCTCGAAAAAAAAAATTCACAGTATTTAGTATACAACTTTTGTACCAAATTTTTTTACTTCAAACCAACATAATAATCTTGTAGTGTATTCAATTACCTACATAAAAATGTATAACATGTTAGAAATATTTTTTTTTTTGTAGGTACGTAATAGGAACATAATAATACAATAACCGCAAAACCGCAAATAAGTGTAAACTATAGCCTACAGTGTTTGCTTGTGCTGTGAAACATTATGTAGGCTGATGATATGTAGCCTACATATTTGTAAAGCTAATGAAGTAAGGAATCCAAAAAAGTCATAAGTATGATGGTAAAAAGTTATTTTCACCTATGATTATGTGTCAATTTGAGAACGTTTTGAATTTTTTGCGCATTTCGAGAAAATGGAGTGTACAGTATTTAGTATTACTTTTGTACCAAATTTTTTACCCCCAAACCAATATAAACATCTTGTAGTGTGTCTATTTACCTTTATAAAAATGTATAACACCTTGGGTATATAATTTTTTTTTTATGTGTTATGTAGAAAAATAAAAATTGTCGCAAACTTGGCAAATATGTAAAAAGTCTTATTTTTCATTGAGAGCTCTGTAATTTTTATAAACATCAATAATGCCATATTATATCTATATATTACCACTACAGGTATTTATAAACAATAAAATATATAAATTTACATATAAACAGGGTAGTGGCATATTATATAAGAGATAACGTGCGATAGTTGGTCCGGTAACGATGTCGGAAAAATTACAAAATTTTTATTTTATATTTTATTAGGCCTACTCAATAATAAAATAGGCCTACATCTTACATTACAATTGTAAAAGTAATACAAAAATAAATATAGTAACTCACCCCCTACCCTCAATGTCCCTGTGTCTTCACCCTCCCCTCGATGTCCCCCGTGTCGTCGACTCTAGTTCTTCCGCCCGCGACGACGTTCCAAGACGCAAGGAATGTTCTTGCACATCTGGAACTTGCAGACGCCGTGAACTCCATTCTGGCATATGGTGCAGTATAGTGACCCCCGTTGTGTGTTGTTTTGTCCTTGACTCTTGCACACAATACACATGCGCCTTCCATGGTTAGGCAGCGGAACGATGTTGTGGTTGTAGTTGTGCTGTGCAGGGTTGTCTCCAGCTGGACCGACAGTGGGCGGAAGGGGGAGAGGCACACCGGAGGTTGACAGTTGATCAATTACACTGGTATTAAATTTTGACCTGGGCATAGGATTGTCATGCTGAGCCGCATACAAAATGTATGCGTTCAGTAGAGCCATATCAATGAAATTGTAAACGATCTTCCTCCAGTATTTAGATGAAGTTCGAGTGCAGGACAAGTGGTAAACACTTTTGTCTTTCGAATCCACTCCACCCATAAACTCGTTGTACACCTTGATTGTCACTGGTTTTACCGAGACGCGATTAGTTCCTCGACTGGTAACTTCGACGTCTTGGGCATGCATACAATTTGATATTAGGTGAACCGGTTTCCTGGTTTCACGCTCTTTGAACTTCACAAGGAGGACTGATGCCGAACCATCAAACCTTCTTCTAAAGTACAAAGTCTCACCAACTTGTAGCACTGTATCCAAGGCGACTTTCGAAAGATCCTTAGACCGCTTGTTGACCGTTCCTGTCAAAAAGGTGTTTCTCTGGCTCAACCAGCGGGCTAAGTTGATCTTTGTGTAGAAGTTATCAGTGAACAAATGATAACCTTTGTCCAGTAAACCAACTTTCCCCATCAGGTACGCAACAACTTTCTGAGTGAAGGGATCAGAACTAGCAGACAAAAAGTATTTACCAGAGTACAACACAGACTGAAGGACGTAACCCGTCTTGGAATCACACAACTCAAACTTTTTAATGCCAAACCGTGAGTGGCGTTTGTTTGGCATGTATTGTATGAAAGTGGTACGGTTTTTCATACCCACCATACTTTCATCAATACATACATTCTGACTTGGGATGAAATAAGTTTTAAAACTTCCATTCATCATTTGGAGGAAATCGCGAATCTTCACCCAAGGATCATATCCTACATGACCCTGGGGTGGAGAAACGCGAGATGACAAATGAAACATGGATGTTATCAATTGAAATCTACGAAGAGTCATGGTTTGGCAGAAAAACTCAATATGAAGTGTACGGTCTTTACTCCAATAGTCGGTGAGATTCTTCCGACGGGTTATTCCCATAGCCAACAAAAGCGCTAAGTACTTCTTCATCTCATCCACTGTGACGTCCACCCATCTACGAAAACGGGATTGCGGGGACAACAATCCAGTTCTTCGGAGATGGTTGATTTTCCTGTGGGCATACAAGTTTGTCTCATTGACAAACATGTCCCACATGGCCCCAGTGAAGAAGAGGAAGAAGTAGTGCAAAGGGTTATTTGACACTACACAAGTTGGTCCAGGGTTATCTACAGTGAATTTTGAGCTTACGTCCACTGCCGGCTCAGGCGGATAAACCCTCACCCACGGCGCTTCTGTCGGCAGCTCTTGCCGCGGCAGTCCTCCCTGCGGAGCTCGTTCTGGTGCCGGTTGAGGGTCTTCAAGTGGAGGGGCGGCTGCCCTGGGGACTTTGGGAGGTGGGCCTGTGCCGACTTCACAAAGAGCCGTCTCATCTGTGATGTGAAGCGGTTGAGACGGCCTTTTCCTAGGGGGCCTAGACTCTGCGTTGGTAGGCCTAGGGTCAAGTGGGGGGGGAGGTGACTCAGGGAGTGCATCTACCCCGAACAGGCCAGATATGTCCTCCCTGTCAGTAGTCTCGAGGTCGTCCAAGTCTGGCGCATACTCCTCACCACTGCCCGATGAGTAGTCGTACAGGTCTTCCAAATCACTTTCTTCCTGCACCATAGAAGATATTGCATGGTAGAGTTCATGCCTATTCGGCCGAAGATTGTCACGGAGGGGAGGTGGCCTCTCTGACGGGAGGGTAACCGGGGCACTTTTTTTATTCAAGATTTTAGCCCTGTAGGCCTCATACACGACCTCTCTACTTGGCCCTGCGACCTGGCCATCATTAGCATGAAACACTGGGGGGGGGGGGGGGGTGGTGGTTTAGTAGGTGGGGGATTGGACTGGATCACTGGGGGCGGGGCTGGAAGTTCAGGATCAGGACTAGGAGGGGTGATAGGCCTAGGCCTACAAGGAGGGTCATCAACATCCTCATCATCGTCACTAAAAGGATAGATGTCACAACAGGGCGAACTAAGATCCGTCTCGAAAAGTAGTCGCTGGATATCAGAATCATCGTTGTTAGACATGATGCTAAAAAATAATACCTTTTATGAACACTATTTCACACAATTCAGTAATATTTATGCATAATAAAATGCATGAAGATTACTGTTATAGACACACAAACACTTCACTAACACTAACACTACGAACTAATAACGTATTTAGTAATAAATCGCGGATAACATGCGAGCGAACACTCACCGGCAAATACACACAATGGCGACAGACTGTCTGATCCTGATCAGTCTCGTCTGTAGTAGTAATGACTCACTTCCGTCGTCTTCATGTGAGCAGACGGATATAGCCCCGAGCGCAGGGCTGCCAATCTCTAAATCTAAATTTCTTCCTCTTCAAAATGATATACTATATGACTAGTAACAATAACTTTCACTGTATATAATTCGTATTTTCCATACCGCCACCAAACGACTGTTGGCCATTTGTTAGAAATTTCGAAAACAGCTGTTTTCATAAAATCGTACCGATTGTGCAATCAATATTTATTTATAAATATCACTACCATAATGAAGAACAAATCAATGTCTATCCAGTGGTACCAACCGCAACATCCTAAGACGAAAATTACCCGAGCAGGGTAATGCCAAACAAGACGTGTTTTGCCAGTTCCCAAGTGTCGGCTGCAAAAGTCGTACCGCGCCAAAATTTCATTTGATTTCTAATCGTCGTGACATTGTTATATACCTGCTACAGGGTTTGTTTATGTAATAAAATGAAAGTTCAGAATGTGATCTTTCGAATGGTATATATATTATTCTAATCTGAGTTGATTGTAAGTGTTTTTTTTACCGTTAAAAAAATTTCGGCCCATACCGTAACCAGACGACTTTGGCCATTCTAAGCATCAACGTCATACCGTAACCAGACGACGGTTGGCCACTGCTAGGGTTAATTATTATTCACAGTTGTTAAGGGTAACAAAAAAATATAATGAACATAAAAGTATAATATTTAATTAAGTAAATATATGTAATTAACGTTATAAAAGAATGGCAATTGAACAAATAAAATTGTGACGAACTGGTTTATGCAGGATGTCCTTAAGGTAGGCCTAATTTGAAAAAATTTTATCCTTATAAAAAAATGACTGAAATTTGTTATCTTAGTGCTGGCTACAAGGCATTGGCTAAACATGGACAACCTTATGCGGATATAAGTCAGGAAATGTGTTGTGTAGGAAACACTAAAAAACAATATCAGCTTATGAAATATATGATAAAATGTTGATTACATCGAACTGTTGTATAGAAGTAAGTACATCGTGAGTATTTCCATGAGTTACACACCAGTAATCTTTGAGTTGACTCTTTTAAACTCGTAAATATGACTGTTTTGAAATAACTTCTGTAATACTTTGCAATTGCTCGAATTCAAGCAACATGTATATACCACTAATTAAGATAGTTTTTTTTTAAATTCATGTGATTGGGGACTGACATTTAAAACGTTTATAGCTATCTTACAGTTAGAGAGTTTGTTAAAGCTATGGGTAACTTACCTTTGATCTAAGGGATTTTTGGGTAATCAACTTGTTAAAATTCAGCAGCCACGTTAAATCCTTGTACTGGGCTCTCATATCTGAAAAATAGGCCTATCAGCATACTGTAACACAAGGTTATGGAAATTCATTTGAGCTAACAAACTATTTTTAGTTAAGTTAAGTTAAATGGATGGCGATATAAGTTGTAACTTAGGCCTACTTTAACTAAATTTGTTACTTAACCTCTCTATAAATGGCCAAGATCTAAAAAAATTGAAACCTCTCCCTTTATATAGCCAATGTCTAGGCGTCAATCCTAAAAAAAATTAAATGTACCTATCAACTATCATGACAATAGTGAAATTCAAGTTCTGTATACAAGTTACAACCCAAGACAGTGCAGCATGAAGTTGTGTTGTGAAGACAAACTAACAGATCAGCTTCAAAATGATACATGTAAGTTAACATAAAAAAATACCTAAGCTTAGGCCTACTAACTTATAGGTATCATATTAAGTTAATTAAACTCAATGCCTGTGATTTGCTTGTTACAAAAAGTCTATACTAGCTATAAGTTAGGCCTAGTCACACCAGTTAAGACAAGCCCGCGGTTTTCATGTGACACGCTATAGAACCGAGATATTTGCGCCCCTCCCACACTTCCTTGTGGGGAAATTCTTCTCTTCCTTGCGCTCCAACAGAAGTAGGCCTAAGAAACTTAAAACCTATTCCACCCCTGGACCTAGTCCTAGGCCCATTTTACTTTAGCGGCCCTGAGTTATAAATTGATATTTAAAGGCCTACAGGTACTTTGGTAAAAATTCAGTTTCCACAACTCACCTAAAACGCACTTCCTTTTTTATCCCTACTTTAACCCCCCCCCCCCCCCAAGACACTGGTTCAACAAGTGGCATGTCTTGGTTACCTATATGTAGGTTAAATGCAGATATACTTACTTGAATCTCCTAGGAATAGAATATGTCTGTTCCTTAGAAGACTCTTCGCATCCGAATGCATGAATACGTCAGCCATAATATTTAGCTAAGAAATCTCAATAAGTTAGAGCATAGATGGTAGCCTACGGCCTAAAGTCCAGAATGAGATGTGCTTTTCATTTTCACAATTAAAGATTCAGTAGCCTTACAGAACAAAAACTGAAATATTTTTCATAGGGTCTATGTTAAAAAAATTTACTAAGTTACTGGATTTGTAAAAATATTTGATAAACAATCAAACGAATTAACCGGTCCAGATATCAAACTTCCAAACGACGTGTTAAATTACAAGGACCTGTTTTAGTATCAATAAAGTATTTAGCTACTATTTGAGGATTTGAAACTTGAAAGATCGAAAAAATACTATGTTTCAACTGGTTTCAACCATCTTATCTGTCCAATCAGATTACACCAGTAAGCTGAAGTGGGAGTTGCCGACTGATGGCCACTGACAGACCATGGGAAAAGTAGATTGAAAGAGTAGCGTCACAGATCACGGCCGCCTTTAACGCCAGGCCGCGGCCTTCGAAGTGGCAACGTTGCAAGGGGGACAGCTCACTTACTCTACAGATCATAGACTATACGAGCCTTTTAAATAATATTGAAGGTTCACTTGCACTACAGGCTCGTATACTATACGAGCCTATCGAAAATAAAAAATAAATTAAGAGGGTTCACTTACTCTACGAATCATTGTGCCTATGAGCCTCGTGTATTATATTTAAAAATACAGTAGGAAGGTTCGCTTACTCTACAGATCATAGTGACTATGAGCCAAGCTTACGAATTATTTGATAATTCAGGAATCGGCTCGTATAGTATACGACCCAAAATAATGAATAATATAAATTATAGGAATAGGCTCGTATACTATACGAGCCTGCAGAAAAATATTAGATGGCTCACTTACTCTACAGTTCATTGGCACTATGATCCGTAGAGTAAGTGAACCCTCTTCAAAATATTAGATGGCTCACTTACTCTACGGCTCATTTAGCTACTCGTTGCGCGGTTTGCGTTCGTGAAACTTTAGGCGCTATGCCCGGATTCGACTGCTGCGACTGCCTACATAAGTGTATTGCATCACCTCAATTATTTATTAAAACGAAATAAATATGTATGCACAAGTAAATTTATTACATTTTTGGACTGAATACTTTAAAAATGGAGGGAGCATGACTTTTATGTTTAATTAAATTAAACGTTATAGAATAAAACATATTTTGACTAATATCAGGTTATATAATACACACTTGTATGATCCAGATACAGAGCTACAGACAAAACCTGTGGTCTGATTTAGATTAAATTCTGTATCTGGATTTATCCACGAGTCACTAATTTTTTAAGCACGGGTTGAGAAATAATGGCAAAAATTTATAAAAACAGTTCACCAGTTTAGAATATTTCTCAGTTACTGTGAGTTGCAAAAAAAGTGTATACAGAAGCATTTGTGTACATAGAAAATATAGAGGACTAGATGTATACAGAAGATATATTAAAATACAATACGCACACAACTATCAACGTTTACATATGTAAAATTAATGAATTTGTTGTATTGAGTATTTTTAACATTATGACGAAGCCTTAACAAAACATATTTTTTTAAGGAGTTCTAGGGTGTTAAACTATATTGTATTTATCTTTTGTGGAAGATTATCTGTCCACGATTTATGATTGCTAACAATTTAATACAAAGATTTAAGTCTCTGTACGTGAAGACTAAAAACACGAAACAAACTTTAAAGTGATAGAAAAGATTTGATCAGGAGCTGGCGTTTGATACCTTTTGGGAATAAATATAGCCTCTACTTCAAAGGTATACATGGTGAGGTAGCCTCTGGAGGACCATCTTCAGGTTAACAAAAACGTCAATAGGTCATCTAACCAATTTGGTTAGATGACCTATTGACGTTTTCTGAAGATGGACTTATTTTCAAGTCCGAAACTATAGTAGTGTAATACTGATGAAGGATCACTTGACGAAGCCAGGTAACTTAAACCATTTAGCTTAAAGTTATACAAGTTGGTTTCACACCAACATTTCATGCACATATGAAATCTATATAATTAATACGCGAACACGAAGTTTGTCGGTTGAATCCTCCACCATTTCTTAACCGATTTTATCCACTGACGTCTCATTGGAAAGAACGTGTTGCGTAGATTTGCAAACTGGCCTACAATTTTTGAAAAAGTCCCTTGGCCTCTGCCACAGTGGCATTTTAAGTTCCCATGTTATCCTTACGAAGAACATAATATTGTTTACATCAGCTGTTTAATTTAATTGTGTTCTTTGTTTTTCAATTCAACGAAACGCATTGGTTACATTAACTGATTTTGTGGAAATTAAATATCTATCTATATATATAATTCTGTAAGACCTAATTTTTACCAGAAAATTGTGGACGTCTGGTAAGTCGCAGAAAAGTGGGAGGGGTCTTAAATTAAAGGTATTGACCCCAGGGACTCGGGAAAAATAGCAGAATTCCCATAAAGCTACCAGAAAACGAGATATAACGTAAAATATCCACCATAAGAAATGCATGGGGACTGAAAAACGTCTGCATTCTATCAGCTGTTACATATTTATTTGCAATTTATTCCGAAAGACAATGTTGGTAAATAATGTTTCAAAAAGGATTGTGTTTAATTTTTTTGGTTTTCCGTTTTTATAATGAGTGAAGTAACTAGACAGGGTAGGGGAAGACCTGCAAGACGTGGAAGAGTGTCCAGGAATTCAACAGACTTAAGAAATGCAAAAGAGAACGTCATGTAGGGCCTAATTGTGAAAGAAATCCAGAAGCCGTTTTAGAAAATCGCTGGAAAATTAGTTGATTGTTGTTTCTCACAATATAGGTCCTCTTAAAGCACTTGCATGCATTGTGGCGCATTTCATTTTGCAGAGGAGGCCACAAATGGACATTTCAACGCATGTTGCCACAATGGACATGCCACAACCACAAGCAAATGACGAACTAAAAGAACTGTTTTTACATGATTCGAACTTCATTTCAATTTGTGTATTTGTATGTAAATTAGCCAAGCGCATGAAATTTAGTAGAATCGTGGGAGATGGTTAAAATCAAAGTAAATGGAAGTAGAATGGCTGAAACATTTAATTAAGCTTTGGTTTTTTTAAACATATGTTCACGAAGTTTACAAAATTATTTTACTTTGATTACATTTCTTCACATTTGTAGGTTATTGTGCTGAAGGAATGTTTAACATGAAATAGCCCCGTTGACTAAATAATCAACGATGCAAGATTAGTTAGAAAACTCCTGTTTTGTTTTTATTTCAAAACATATGTTGAAAATTTATTCAAAACTTTTGTTTTAAATTTCATAACATTTAATTTGACACGTAATTGTAGTGTTTAATCTATACTTTGTATCGAGTGGAACAACCTTAACAGTTACTCTAGAGAATAACCTGGGAATAAAATTTGAAATAGGTTTGTACAGGCAATACATATATTCCTTTTATTAATTACTATAATAAATTCCAATGGGCGGAAAAATAAAATTGTTTGGAGTAGATTTTAACCAGGTATCTACTGTCTGTTGCTCCAAGGAAAAAAAGGTTAAAATAATATAGCCCAACATGCATTGTATATATATACAATCTATGTAGATAGTAAAGAGAGAATCTATAACAGTAAACCCTAGAGGTAGTTTCCTATTCTTTATGTTTCACTAACCAAAAATATGTACCTATATCAATGCTGATGAATTTGTTTTCTTGATTGGTTTCATTAACATGATAATGGAACCCTAACCAGTGGCAAAAGAGTTAGTAATCAGTCGATGATTAGCTTTTTTAACTGTAGGCATATAAATAATATAACCGGTAAAATGTTTTCAAACAAAATTTACATCCATTGAATGAAAAATAATCTACTATTAACATGACTATAGCTGACATGGCTTAGCTGTCGGCTGTCTGTACATTGCGTCATAACAGCAGACAGCGCTATGTTATTAACTTAAAAATTATAACGGATTAGCAAATAAATACTTTACTATGGTCTTAACAAACTATGAACCCACTGAACGTTTAAATTGGCCTATTTTAAAGAGTGTATAAAATCAATCACAGCTTTAGGAGGAATACCACCACATAAGCTGACACAGAGAGTAGTTTATATTTTATGTTGATCAGAAACGAAACTAGGGCAGCCTTTACACTAATTCAGTTGTGCCTTTACAAAAGGAGTAGAGCTATAATATTAGAAATAATAACTGGGCCAGGGTACTAATATGAGTACATGTAGTATTGTAGCACTGTATCGATTCTGACACATAGATAATTTTATTCTGAGTTTGTTTAAATATTACAATAGTTTGTTTTACATTTGAGCTTTTTAGGGACTTATGTCCCTACAAGCCACTAGTTGATCAATATAAAGCCCAAAGTACACATGAACTTTTGTGAAAACTACAAGTCACACCCCCATAAACCATATACTTAAAATGTTCGTCATGACGAGAAAACTAGCGCAAAACTATCCATTATTTCATAAACTGCCCTTAAAGGTCGTAATTGCTTTCCAAGGAAACATAGGAAAGTCATAGAACGCCACCAAGTAGTAGAAATCGAGACTTTTTAAAAATATTATCGTTATCATCCTATATAAAAGAAGAACGCCTACAATATGAAGATTCCCACAAACAATGAACAAGGATGTTATCGGAAGTGCTACTATTTTGTAGGAAACACGGACTTAACTTTATGATGATTTGCAAAGGAAACCCCTCTAAGGCCGAATTAATCCGGTACGGCAAGGACATTATATATGTTTTCATAAAAGTCAAGTGATTTTAAAATAATATGACTACATCCAAGAAACCTTAATAAAACTTGCATTGCAGGATTCGCATTATTCACATTCAAGGGAAACAAAAACCCATCTGAACAACATTAGGCCTTACAATTCTGCATATTTTCAGGTAAATATAATTTACGTTATAACAGTAACTAGCCAAATTAATGCCAATTGAGGCAAATAAAATTGTGACAGAGAGGTTATGCAGAAAATCAGGCAGTTCTTAAGTACCTATTGTAAACAAAATTGTATCTCTATAAAAAATTACTGAAATTTGTAAACGTACTGGTGACAATGGGTAGTACCATGCTGACTACGTTATCATTGACGAAGATCAACATGGACTACCTAATGTGGCTATAAGTGGGAAATATTTGTAGAATACACTAAAAACCAGATCAGCTTTTGAAAAATGGTAAAATATTTACAAGAAATGTTTAGGCCATTATATGGAAATGTTAGGTACGTTCCATCTATCGAGTTTAGTCTTTTAAACTCATCGGAAATTATTACTTTTATTCGTTTTTAAATAAGTTAATAACTGTTTTT